AAGATGCACAAATCAATTGAATTGATTATACTTATAGGATATTTTTAATGAATGAACCAAATTGTTATCAAAAAGTATGTCGAACTGAGTGTATATAAATTATTTTCTTATTTTTTGATATGATACTTAGGTGAGCAATTACTAGCTAAACTCTAAATGGACAATGAAAAGATTTTACCATCCATTCCCTTACCCGTTCTAATTGTATATATATTATATAACTTGAACATAAGACATCTTACTTTTAACTAAAAATAACATTCTATGACTGAGCTACTTTGTTTTGTTGACAATTTTTACATTGGATGTTCTTTCATACAGAAACCATAAGTTAAAAACCAGCTAATGTGAAACGAGTGGAGAAAAGAAGGAAGCCAAGAAGGTGTGTAAATGTGTAATTCTTCATTCGAAAACTTAAAGAAAAAGATGCCTTTCTCTCTTCTCTCTCTTTCGCATTTACCCTTCCCACCCTCCATAAATGCTATTGCAACCTCTCAATACGCTCTGCAATAACTCCTTATAGCTGCCACCTCTCTCTCTCTCTTATTCGCCTTTGATTTTATCCCCTCTTTTTCATCGTCTGTTCCCCTCTTCAATTTGATCCCTTCGCGTCTTTCTATCCTTTCCTCTCCCCCAACGGCTCCCTTCAATCGTCAAAATCACCCACCAAACCCCTATCAGTGGTTTTCCGATAACCTAAACGCTTTAAAAAACCACTTTCCAAAAGGGGTTTTCCGTTATTATTTTGAGAGAAAAAAGAGAGAAAAAGGGAGGCGTTATAATTTTTCCGGAGATGGGGTTTTGAAATTTTGTGATTTTGTCAAAGGGAGGACGTATAGTCTCATAGTGTCAACTCTTTTTTGTCCTTTTTTTTTTCTTACCATAACTGGGCCTTAGGGCACGTCACGCTAAAGACCAAAGTCTTCTCTTCCGTTTTGAAACTTGTAATAATCCTATTAGCTACTCAGACAGACCCTCAGAGAATCTATTACAACAACCAAACCCTAAAACTGCCAAAGAATCCAAAGCCAAACCAAGAGAGAGAAAAAAGAGAAGGAAGATATGAGTTTGACTTCTAGTTAGGTTTCTCTATGCCTGAAAATTTCTCTAACACCATGATGCTCTTCAAAGCAAGCAACATCGCTGCCGCCGTGTTTAAGAGGAAAAAGAGACTGCTGATTTTCTCCCACCATCGCTTTTGATACATCATTCAGGTATTTTCTTCTTTCTTTTGATTAGCCTTTTTTTTTCCTTCGGGATTAATTCTGTTCACGTTCTAAGTTAAGGTCATCGGTCAATTCATCCTCTTTGGTACAGTGTGCCTATTTAATTTTTCTCCATCAACATTCATTCTCTCGAAAAAAACTAAAATTTTTTTATGAAACATTAACGTGTAAGTATTATTAATTACATCAATGAATTGGGTTTTTCTCCCTTTTTTCTACATGTTAAACACATTTTTTTATTGACTTCTTTCAATTTTTGAAATCTGTGTATTTTTTGTGTTTTTAATTTCTTAGTTTACTTTTGTATACTATAGTTTAGTTAGTTTAATGTTTTGACCTTGTGTAATATTTTGAGGTAGAACTAGGTACTCGAAAAAGACTGTGGCTTCGCCATTCTAGGGTTTTGTTAAAGATGTTTCATTCGAACATGTTTGAGAGTCACCACATGTTTGATATGACTCATAAGACATCGGAAAGTGACCTGGATAAGGTCAGGGACGAAGATTATGAGACGGAGACCATGGACGCCCCTTCCGGAGAAGACCAAGATCCCAATCAACGCCCCAAGAAGAAGCGCTACCACCGCCATACCCAACACCAAATCCAGGAAATGGAAGCGTAAGCAATTCTTTTCCTTTTCCCTAACAAGTTTACTGATACCAACTTGTTTAAACTTGTGTTAATTTTTTTTAAAGATTTAAAATTTGCTTGATTCTTTAGGGTTTTCTTGTGTATACTTTTTTGGGGCACAGGTTCTTCAAGGAGTGCCCTCACCCTGATGATAAGCAAAGAAAGGAGCTCAGTCGTGAGTTAGGATTAGAGCCTTTGCAAGTGAAATTTTGGTTCCAAAACAAGCGCACCCAAATGAAGGTAACTTGTTAATTTCTTCATTTTCCATATTTTGGTTAGTCTATTTAGCCATTGCAGAGATTTAGAACTTCATATTAGTATCATAATTTATGATTAGTGGTATCAAATCAGCTAATTAAGCTCTTTGTGTGACTAGTAAGTGTATTTCAGATCTTATACTGATTATTAACTCTTCATACAGGCTCAACATGAACGCCACGAGAATGCAATACTCAAGGCTGAGAATGAAAAACTCCGGGCTGAAAACAATAGGTACAAGGAAGCTCTCAGCAATACTGCATGCCCTAACTGTGGCGGCCCCGCTGCTCTTGGAGAAATGTCCTTTGATGAACAACACTTGAGGATTGAGAATGCCCGACTTAGAGAAGAGGTGATGATTGGAAGAGGGTACACATGAAAATTATTTAAATGTAAAAATTTTACTAATTGAAGACTTACATATGTTTAATGTTTGTTTTTCAGATTGATAGGATATCTGGAATAGCAGCTAAATATGTAGGGAAGCCATTGTCTTCCTTCTCATCTCTTTCTTCTCATTTACATTCTCGTTCCCTCGATCTTGGGGCGAGCAACTTTGGGGCACAGTCTGGATTTGTAGGAGAAATGTATGGAGCTGGTGAGCTTCTCAGGTCAGTCTCTGCACCTACTGAGACAGACAAGCCAATGATTGTCGAGCTTGCAGTTGCAGCCATGGAGGAGTTGATCAGAATGGCTCAAGCTGGAGAGCCCTTGTGGGTTACTGGAGAGAACTGCACTGATGTGCTGAATGAAGAAGAATACCTGAGCACTTTCCCTAGGGGAATTGGACCGAAACCTCTTGGATTAAGATCTGAAGCTTCAAGGGAATCAGCTGTTGTGATCATGAATCATACTAATCTCATCGAGATTCTCATGGATGTGGTAGGATTTTATCTTCTGAAATTCAATTTTAATGATCTAAAACATCCAAATATAGTATCTTTCTTTTGGAAGAACATCTAGTTTACAAGGTAATGGTTTGGGATATGACTTAGGAACAAATTTCTCTTTTAATTTTTTTTTATCAACTGTTACAAATGAGGGGTTAGGGGTTTCGAAGCAGCTCATGGTTGGCAGATGGTGCACCTCTCAACAAGTTGGCCTGAATGGTTAGGTTCCAGGGACATACTTTTAATCTTTCTAATATTGATAAAATACATTATTTTTACAGAATCAATGGTCAAGTGTGTTTTGTGGAATTGTTTCAAGAGCAATAACTCTGGAAGTCCTCTCAACAGGAGTAGCAGGGAACTACAATGGAGCTTTGCAAGTGGTACTAAACTAATTGTTGATTAATTTCAATACTTCTCTTTTAGAAGAAGAAAAACTCATTGTCTTCGTAATTAACATAAATTGTGTGTTAATTTTCAGATGACAGCAGAGTTTCAGGTTCCATCACCACTTGTACCAACCCGTGAAAATTACTTTGCAAGGTATTGTAAGCAGCATACGGATGGGACCTGGGCAGTGGTTGATGTTTCTTTGGACAATTTACGCCCAGCTCCCATGTCTAAGTGTAGAAGAAGGCCTTCTGGCTGTTTAATCCAAGAACTTCCAAATGGCTACTCGAAGGTATACCATTAAATAATCTTGCCTTAGCGTAAGAAGATCGATTTTCTTTGTTCCTGAGGACGGTGTTATTACTAATTAATTTTGACATTGTTTCATGGTCCCCTTTAGGTTATATGGGTTGAGCATGTAGAAGTGGATGACAGGGCAGTCCACAACATATACAGACCTCTGGTTAACTCTGGCCTTGCTTTTGGAGCAAAACGTTGGGTTGCTACTTTGGATCGACAATGTGAACGTCTTGCAAGTTCAATGGCCAGTAACATTCCTGCAGGAAATCTCTGTGGTAATACCATTTTGATGACCTTTGCAATCATCTGGAAAAATTGGCAACTAGAAGTTGAGTTTAATGTTGTTTTACAGTGATAACAAGCACAGAAGGGAGGAAGAGTATGTTGAAGTTGGCCGAGAGGATGGTAACAAGCTTTTGCACTGGTGTTGGTGCTTCTACAACGCATGCCTGGACTACTTTGTCATCAACAGGTTCTGATGATGTACGGGTTATGACGAGAAAGAGTATGGATGACCCTGGCAGGCCACCTGGGATTGTGCTGAGTGCTGCAACTTCATTCTGGATTCCAGTTCCACCAAAGAGGGTTTTTGATTTCCTTCGGGATGAGAACTCCCGAAGTGAGGTAAACAAAAAGTAGAATCTTTTATAACAACATATGAATCTTGTAATAATGCATACATTTCTTTTCAAATTTACAGTGGGATATTCTTTCTAACGGTGGCCTAGTTCAAGAAATGGCTCACATAGCCAATGGGCGTGATCCAGGCAACTGTGTTTCTTTACTGCGCGTAAATGTAAGTTTCTGCAGACGTACATATGCTTTACATATTTAATCCATAATCCCATTATATGCATAAGCTAACATTTCTAATTGAAAACTAACCTGTAGAGTGCAAATTCAAGCCAAAGTAACATGTTGATACTACAAGAGAGCTGCACTGATGCTACAGGGTCCTATGTGATATATGCTCCAGTTGATATTGTTGCCATGAACGTGGTCTTGGGTGGTGGGGATCCTGATTATGTTGCACTTCTACCATCAGGTTTTGCTATACTTCCTGATGGTCCTGTTGGACTCGGAGGAGGAATTCTTGAGATTGGCTCCGGTGGCTCTCTTATCACAGTTGCATTTCAGATCTTAGTCGATTCTGTGCCAACAGCAAAACTCTCTCTTGGATCAGTTGCCACTGTTAACAGTCTAATAAAATGCACGGTTGAAAGGATCAAGGCAGCAGTTATGTGTGACAGTGCTTGACTACAACAGCCTAATCTATCTGTGGTGAGAAATTTACAAACACTTATATTGCCATATAAGTCAACTAATTTGGATTTTAATTGACATGCTTTCTATCAATTATAGGAAGAACGAAAGAAGGGTAAGAGAAGAAAAGAAGAGCATACAGGGAAGAAGTCAAGAACGCACCTTTCATGATCCTTGCTTGATGGTGTTTGTTCCAAGAGAGAGGGGCCAAACTTCAACCTGCAAGGGTAATAGGTTCGGGTATTGACTTCAACAATGAAATTAAGATGACATTTAACCCACTTATATTTTAGAGATCAACTTACCATTGTGTTCCTTAGGTTAAGGCTTGCTAGAACTTATGGTGATCTAATTCCTCTATCGTTTCCCATTTTCATGTCTTTTAATTTTGGCTGAGGCATTAGCCGGACGCATATCCATTAACAAACGTCGTTCCTACTTCATATTTTGGTAGCTGTTGAATCGAAAGCTTTGTGTTTGTCTCATTGACCTTTTTATCTGTTTTTTCTTCTGCTTCTTCAAGGAAATCTCTATATCTAGATCCTAAATAGCAAAATATCACAATCTTATCATTCTTACAAAAATAAATGTTTCCAAATGATTTTTTGAATTACATTCCAATTACACCAAGATTTCAAATATGTACCTAATCCTCATATCGGCAGAAACTAGCTTTTCTGAATAACCCAATTTTATAGAGCTAGCAAGATCAGAGCCGATTATGGCAACAAAACAGGAGGGCACCAATTTCAGATCAGAAAATTACTAAGAGAGAACAAAAACCTCCAGAAAGAAAACATGTTGTATCGATCTAATATCTTTTTTCTGCCATACTCTTCTATATATTCCTGCTTTAAGTCACTGCTAGACTGTAATATAATTTCAGACATTTTTGGACTTCATATGGCCTATTGAGCTAAAACTACGACTGAGGAACTCGAGCTCCATGGACCATATATGGCATCCATTGAGAACAGCTGAATACCATCATATGGATGCAAAACATCATATGATCTGCCTACCAAAATGGACCTGCACTATAGACAGAGAGTGCAATAATGAGGCCAGCAAATCACAAACTAAGATCATTCAGTAGAAAGATGAATTTGCCAAAGGCCTCCTACAAATCCTTCTCTTTACATCTACTATTCTCATGGCATTATCCACTAATTCGTAAGCTAGTACACATTTATATTCAGCAAATCATAAACTAAGATCATTCAGTAGGAAGATTAATTAGCTAAAGCCCTCCTACTATTCCCATGGCATTATCCACTAATTCGTAAGCTGCTACTTATGTATCATTTATGTACTTGTATCAACTTTGTATTTTGCCACACGGTTAAATTTTTACACATTCCAACCATGAAAAGGAAATAAGCCCCGACATAAAATTAGGAAATAAAGTATCGCATTCAATATACTTAATTTGATCCCATATGTACCGTTACTTTTCTACCATGTTTGTCAGAGCTCTGTAGACCAAGCAGGCAATCATATCATATATATGAAGAAAGGACTACTGGTAGTTATCGTTTCATTGTTGCCCACTTTATACTTGGGACCAAAAGTTGATGAAAACTAATTCAATACTAGGCAAAATCTTCATAATTTCCCGCCGGACGAGAGGGCGCTGCTACAAATTATTAAGCTGTTTCACACAATTTTCCCTATTCCAAGATTTAGGAGGGAACAAGATCTTTAGAGTAGAGGTTTTCACTATTCAATGGACCCCCCAAAGTCATTTAGCTTCTGTGGCAAAAATGACATGACGTGTTGAGTGATAATGTGGGTGAATTTGTATGGATTCAGTTATTAATTTAAATTCACATTATAAGAAAAAAGAATTTTAATTATGTTTATTACACATTTTTATGATTAATTGGTATATAAAAAGTAAAAATTGACTTTAATTTTATAGTGATACTATAATTACAATATTACATAAAATTGTAAGTTTATGATTATGATATAGTATTAAATGAGTATGACGTAATATTAAATAAATGGACGTTTACAATAATATATGTGAATCCTTGATTAAAAAAGATACAATTATATAATGATATATGATGTTGTAAATTTATAATACCATATAACATTGTATTTATAGCATTTTTATTAGTTTTATCAACCGTCTAATTAAAATAATTGATAGGGCATTGATATTAAAAATAAAGTTTACTATCATAATTTTTTATATAAATTAATAATAAAAAATATAATAAATATACCCTTAATTTACAAATTCAGATTCAAAAAACCTAAAAAAATTATAACTTTTGAAATGAATTACCTAACTAAGTTTTTTTCCCCCCCTTAACTTATTTAATAAAAAGATAACTCTTAGTTTACAGTACTCACATTTTGTTGTTCCTTGAACACTGTCCTCCATCTTCACATTATGTTATTGTTGTGTTTTAAGGCGATTCATGCCTCTACTGAGAGTAGATCGACTAGTGCAATAGAGATATACATAGTATATCACCCCCATAATGCTATAGTTTTATAATAATACTCTATAAATTTGTACTACATATAGAGTCATCTAATTCAATACACCTTTTTTGCCCAAGAATATTTAGAAGATAAAATAGGATAAGAAAAAAAGGAGAATGCGGAGGAATACAATTAGTTGAGCAAAAAGACATGTCCTATTTATATGACTCATGGTCATGTAACTCCCATTTGTAAGTTAATGATAGGAATAAATTGGGTAATTATTATGAAATAATGTGCCCTGAAATATGGTAATTAACCTACAACAGTTAGTTTGACCAAGTTCTTAATAAGACAATAAATTTAATTTATAAAATATATTATTTTATTTTAATTAAGATATTTAAGTTCCAACATTTCTCCCACTATTTTAATAAAAAATACACCTTTCTTTTGGACAAAGATGGGTTATTATGCATGTTACAAAGATGAATTATTATGCATAATAAAGATAGCTAAGTTTTGAACCTTTACTTAGCGAGTCAATAATTCTTAATTCAAAGTTAATAGTGAACTCATTCTTGAACTATGATCCCATAGGAAGATACAAGAATTGTAACACACATATAATGATCTGAATGTTGAGTTTTTTCACATGGTTGGCACATTAGGGCCTCGTGCATGATTCTAGTTTTCATGAGTGATCTAGAAAATTGCTCATCTAATTTTCATAAAAGCAGCCTCACTTCGACACCCACGTATGTGAAATTTGTTAGTGCTCCCATAACCAAGACACCCTACTCATTAAGCTATAAATTTCATTAAAAGTATATAACTCAACCCTTAATTCATTACGAGATAGATGTATCCTTACCTTAGGAATAGCATTGAAAATTTTTTCTATTAAATATTGATGCATCTTTTAGTAACGACTTCTCTATAATTCATTTTTCCCATTCAAAACCAAATTCTTGGAATTCGGATTGGATATCCTCATAGAAAGTTCTACATTATTGGACTTGAATCCCATTGCCCTTGATGAGCACTAGACCTTGGACTATAATCATAGTTTTTCCTTCAACTTTTGTTTTTACCAAAGGCTTGGTTGGTCAGGGGTGGAGTCAGAATTTTTTTTCAGGCAGGACAACATAATTTTTTATATACTAATTTACAAAATTTTTAAATTTCAAGGGAGCAAGATAATTTTTCATATACTAATTTACAAAAATTTTCAAATTTCAGGGGGGGCTAGCGCCCCCCTCACACCCCTCCCTCCACCACTGTGGTTGGTGATATAGTGGGTAACAAAGAGATTAAACTCATTTTTTCTCTCACACTTTCCTTTCACATCAAGCCACATGCCTATTAGCTCATAAAATTCACGTTCATATTTATCAAATTCTCAATTCACGATACCACAATTTTTTATATCAAATCAAACTAATAAACCACCCTTTTCTTTTATACATGTAAAGACATGTATTTAAGGATTTTTAACTCAAACACCATTTTACCTTTTGGTACAATATAGGAATGTCTATGATAGCATATCCCTTCTATTCAAGTAAAGTGCTTTGTTCTTTTTCATCATACACCATTATACCATACTTGTATAATATGAGTATATATCACATTTGCTTTGTTAAGCACCATTAGTCTCATCACCAAAAATAATACATAGAGATATCACAATTGCCCACATTAAATATGTGATTTTCATTTTTCTCAAATAATTGAGTTCATGAGGAAATTCACTTTTTTACAAGATTTTCATAAGAGCATATTAGCTCATCTTACATTTTATCAAAACAAATGACCCCTCGGTCATGTAAATTTAAAAAATTTAACTTACGTTTTCGAAATATATCATCCCAAATTTCATGTCTATTTTTTAACCAAAATAATTACATGGACCAAATTGGGTAGCTTTTCAATTAGGTTCTCAAAGATTTTACTTGTTTCATCAAAGAACTCAATAATATGTATTAATTAAATTCACAAATTTATTCATCAATTTTTTCTTTCATAACTGTTGGAAATAAACCAAATATTTACCATATGCATTAAGAGCAAACGGCTAGCTTATTATTCTTATAAATATAGCCAAGTGATCATTTGACAATTATAGCACTATTGGTAATGGCCAAAATGCACCATTAATCTATTTATTAAGTAACACAAATCTAATATGTATTTAATACTAACGGCTAATAACATGAAGTGCTAATTTTTCAAAGAATTGCACATTAGTAATAGGAGGCTACTAAATTTCACAAGAATTATGCATGTTTATGCTTTATGTTTCAAGCAAACTATGCAATGATCAAATACCTCCGTGTATTTAACCCAAGAAAAATCATGGAGCCATAAGTTATCATTCCAAGTTTCCAACATTCAATAATAATACAATTGGAATATTGGATAATGATTAACTAAATAGATAAAGCATCAAATTGCTTTTCAAAAAACAAAAAAAGATAAAGCATCAAATATTCCAAGAGGATCAGAAACTCATACTTGCTTGGCACATATATATTCAAGAAAATCAAGTTTTTTTTTTCTTTTTTTTTATTATTATGCTTACACAAGGTTGTATATGTTTCAATTTTACTTTGCAAACTAAATCACCTTAAAATTTTTATTCCTCAAACATTGTCCTCCATCTCCATATTATGCCATTGTTGTGCTTTAAGATGATTAACGCTTTTGCAAAAAATGATCGATTGGTGCAACAAAAATATACATAACATCTCATCTTTAAAATGCTACAGTTTTATAATAACATTTTATGAATCTATACTATATATAGAGTCACTTAAGTTAAAATACCTTCTTTGCCTAAGAATATTTAAAAGATAAAATAAGAGAAGAAAAATAAGAGAATGTGAAGAAACACAAGTAGTTGAGTAAAAAGATTTATTTTATTTATAAGACTTATGGTCATGTAACTCTTACTCGTAGATTAATAATAGAAATAAATTAAGTAATTATTATAAAATAATATGTTTTTAAATAAGATAATTAATATATAATAGTTAATTT